TGGCGTCGAGGAAAGTTCCCAACACTTCGGCCTTCCTTTGTGGGTAGTGACCAGAAGGTCGAAATATTTCTTCTGAATTTCCCGGTCCCGTCGACATAGGATCTCAGTGACTCCAGCCTGGGAGCATTCGGAAGTGTCGCCATCGCTTTCGTCGACCTGAAGGATCCGGCCCTGCCCTGCGAAGGCCAGCCGTGGCCTCCGCAGCCTCTGTCAGAAAAGCTTCGGACGCCCCGACCTCCTGGGTGGACACCAGCTGCTCCGTCTCATTTCTCAACTCACATAGATGTCACCGGCAGTGGCCACGCCTTGCTTCCCACAGCTGTACCGTCACACCCAACTTCTCGAAGGTCACCTGATCGCGCACTGTGTCAATAACCGCGCCCAGTCCTTTCAACATCGGCTTACTGAGCAGCAGAGGGGCCGCGCCAGCGATGACGTACAATCGAAAATTGATCTTCCGTCCACTTGTACGGAACTTCAGTTCCACGTGCCGGACTGATCTCATCGTATACGCGATGGGTTTCGTATGGGGTAACTCCGTGATGGTCAGGCCGGCCTTGTCCATGGCCTCTCGATGTTCATCCAACGTTTCTTCACCAGTCAAATCTAGACCACATCTCGTGTCCAACATACCATGCCCAACATTATGAGAAGAGCTCAACACCTCGGTGTCGTGAGCGTCCTGGCACGGCTGCTGATAGGCGACGTTCGCCTGTTCAAACCACGAATCCAGCATCTCCAAATAGTAGTGGCATATGTCGCTGACCTTGTCGTCTGACTCCTCCTTTACCATCATTGCTGACATTTTGTCCGCGTCGTCACCAGCCTGTTCACGTACAGCACGTGCGTCGGCGGTGGTTTAGCTTGAAACGGTCTCGGGCTTCTCGGTTTCTTGCAGTCTCTACGGGGATATCCAACCTTCGGGCCAAAGCCTCGTGGCAACTGCGCCTTCGAGATCTTTGGTTGCTGCTCTTTCTGTTCGACCAATGTTTGCAACGCCTCCGGCTCATCGATCGTCCCTTCTGATTGACACGGCTCGGTAGCAATCAAAGCGTCAATCTCGTCACCTATGACATTCTCGTCGTTTTCGGTCTCCACAAAATCGTTGACACCAGAATGGCGACCTGATCCTTAGTCAATGGGACCGTTAGTTCTCAAGGCCTGGGCAATTTCGCTCTTTTGGTGCAACTTCTCAGATGCTGCCAACATAACTGCAACATGACGACGACAGCTGTGCTCCCATGAGCAGCAGGAAGCCCTTCGCCATCGATGGCAATGGGGCCCCTCAGCGTCGCCGCGAGAGGAGGATGCACGTCCACGACCGTAGAACTGAACCATGGTCTCGCCCCTGGCAACCTTCAAACCGATCATCTCGGTGAGAGCCTCGCCAGAACGATTATGGGCAGCAAGGTTTGGACATTTCTTGTCTAGGATGGCCAAGATTTGACCTTCCCCTCAGCAGCCTCTAGCTCATCGATGTCGATCGTCTTAACCGCACGCGCTGCCACATCAGCGAGTAGAGTGAAAAAGAAGAGGTCCCATTGCTTCAGGTGATAGTCCACGCGCTCGCTGCACAGCGCACTTTCGCCACGAGCGATAATCTTTACTCGCCTCCGAGCCCGAGCCAGAGAAACCACGCGCACCACCACCTCTGCCGCCTCCAGAGTCCATTTGTCCGTGGTATCTGAACCACAGTACACAAGTCCAGTTGCTGAAGATACAGAAGTGGGCACTGACCTCAGCCTCGTCCGCTCTTGCACCTGCAAGAGACAACCAGCTGCGCGCTCGCAATGCAGATCCCCCGCGGGCGCGCCGGCGGGCGCACCTTTTCTGCCTGGAACCGGGCCGAAATGTTTGCGTAAGCACCAGCACTTGCTACTCCCACCAGCACGTGCTACTCCCTGTCATGCACATGTATGCCCACCTCACCCAAGGACCCTCAGATGGGTACGACCCCTTTCCTGGGACAGTTTTTCTGGGATCAATTCAGGGCACGCTTGACGCCAGAACCAGGCAAGTTTACCTGCATGGCGTTTCCCCCTCCCCCCTATCACCCTTCCGCCTCCTTGTAAAACAACGCTGGGCCGAAAAGGCATGTAACCGAGTCCCGACTTGGGTGAAGTCCAGTTTTCCAATCGGGCCTCCCCCCCCCTCCCAACCCATGCAAGTCAGAACGGTCATGCACTGACCCTCGGTGCGTGGCTGAATTGGGGTTCCGCGGCGCGGACTCTGCTTGTTATTGTATTTGTTTTTCCGTCGTTCCCCCGGCGACCCGGCCTGCGATCCACCCGCGACCCTCCCGCGACCCACCCGCGACCCACCCGCGACCCAGCCCGCGGCCGACCCGCGACCCACCCGCGACCCACCGCGCGACCCGTTCGCGACCTACCCGCGACCCACCCGCCACCCTCCGCGACCCACCCGCAACTTGGCCCGCCACCCACCCGCGATCCACCCGCGACCCACCCGCGACCCACCCGCGAAAATCGGCGCCTGCGGCGGGCTCGGTGTATGATTTGT